GTGGCCTCTGTGAGGGCTGGCTTTGGGGCAAGGCTCAGGGCTTTGCGTCTCTCTAAGTGTTTCCCCCACTCTGCTTGGCAATGCAGATAAAAGAGTCAAGTTACATTTTCCCTTAAGTTTCTAAGGTGAAACGGGAACATTTGATTCTGTGCTACCCAAAAAAAACAAAACAAAAAAAACCTCTCCACTTGCCAAATCTGATACCAGAAGTTAACCAGCTCTTGGAACTATGCTTCTACAGAAAACGCATTAGTGGGAATTTTAACAGAAAACCCATTATACCCATGCTGTTACTAAAACTTCTGCTAGTCCCCCTTTCAGAAAAAAGATTCATTTTAATACTAATAGTTCTAAAGAATATGAAACATTAATTATCTATTAAAATTCCTTTTGGGGGGAAGTGGGCCTGTGAAGAACAAAATAATAAAAAAAACTAGAGGTTTTCCTATCGCGTTTGACAACCGAACAAATCAAAACAGTGCTGGAGTGACCACCCTAATTAAACCAACCACCGAGAGTGAAACTACAAGGTTGAACAATGGATGATTCAATTAGTGAAAGTTTACGGGTTCTGTTTTTCTTTAAATGCATCCTCCATCAAGAGACAATACTGTAAATTTAAGCAAATGTATATTGCAATTATACATTTTCATCTTGACAAGCTCTCATAATATATAAACAAATCAAAAAAAGTAATCAAAAGTACAGTTTTAATACAGTTTCAGGATTGGGGTGCTAGTTTCCTTAATTGTTATTTTACTATGTAACTTAAAACACTACTTCGTTACAATTGATTATTATCTATGAAAAAAATCTCAAGTTAAATAAAGAGGGAAAAAACAATGGAGACTGGAGTGGGACTAGCAATCAAGCAGAAAAGGCACGCATTTCTCAAGAAGGTATTGGCTCCACTTTCAGACTACTAGGAGTTTCTTGTTTTTGTTTTTTTTAATTTAAGAACCCACTTACAAAAGTGTCTTTCCTATATATGCTCATGGTTTCAAGGTAGTAAGTATCAGTAGCATCACTGGACTTATTAGCACATTTCTTTAGAAGAACTTAACCACTCTCAACGTTTACTATCTCCTAGGCCTCCCAGTGGCCCTGGGACACAGAAGGGAGAGACTTATAATTGGCCCATTTTACAGACAGATAAAGTGAGAAAGAGGGGTTAAATGGCTTCCCTCTAGTCACACAATAACTCATTAAGATCAGCAACTAAAAACCTGGTTTCCTGATTCCTGGTTTAGTGTTCCACATACTATGCTTCCTTCTGCAAAGCACTATTTTTGTAAAGGTTTCTCTTTCAATAAAGGAAATAGAACAAGTCATGTGACTTTCATTCACTAAAGCCTCTGTGTGTTGTACTTAGCACCTTAGTTGTCTGTTCCTGGGGATAGAGTGGGAGCAGTGTACATTACTATCTTATTATGACAAGAGCTAGCCAGCTAAAGCAGAAAGGCAACCAAACAGAAAAAATAAAGGGTATTGGTTTGTCAAGCAATTGCACTGAAGTTCTAAAAACGTTCAAGTTCTTTGTTTTAAGATTACAACAGACAGTATTTTTAAACATAAACTGTGATTGTATTGTTCCTGTGGAAACATTTCTTATTCCATAATTCTTTTACCATAAGATATGAATAACTAGTCCTTTTACCAAATAAGTTTAAATATAGATGCTTTCAGTGGCAATTCTTATCTAATCTGCCTCGTACACACATAAAAACCATTTTAGAATTAAAATCCCACTAAAAAGACAACACCAAAATAGCATATTTTATGGATGCACCAATCTATAATCGTAACACAAAAATTACAAAGTTAATTTTAAAAAGCAGTTTAAATTCAGTAACATACCTCAGGTTCCCCAACAATACACTATCAGATTGATTAGATTTTTCCACATACACACACACAAAACACATGGTAAGTAACCTCCCCACTACTCCCAAATGAGGCATAATTTAAATTTTTATTTATTTTCTCTAGACACATACCTATACTTCAGGTGTACCAACTTTTATATGATTTGGGGTTGAAATTCTACCTCCATTCCCAATTCTTTTGTAAACAACTATCAAACATTGTTGGAACCCTAATGTCACCACTTATGCAAATACCAAACACTACCCTAGTGACCCCAAATTATTCTGTTTCAGCATAACCAATGAAGTTTTTCCATGCAGAACCCGAGAAGCTCGATGTGGAAACATATGCCACTTCTGAGAGCCCGGGCAGTGCACGCAATGACCCAGGAAATTCTTTTTCTTCTATTTCATCTCCAAAGAAATGCTTTGCAAGTCTTCCTTCTAGAAATCATCTCTCCAAGGGCACTTATCTCCTATGAGCTTTCTATTTATGAGCACCCCAAACAAATGTCTATGGGCATATGTGAGTTAAATAAAAGTGGACATTCATGCTGAATTTCTAAATGTTCTCTTTCTGGCTTCACAGACCACAGTTTAGCTCCCACATTAATTAAGATGACACCCTCGTCTTTCCTAGTCTACTGTTCTCTGTGTTCAAATGAGTTTACAAGACACTCATTTACCATGTAGTCCTTTGTTAAAATGTGGTTTTGCCACAATGGATCGATTGCAGTTATCTATTTAGCTTAAAAGGAGCCTTTTTCCTTCTTAAAAGGGTGTTTACCATCATGCTACACAGACTTCAGGAAAACAGCAACCAAAAAACGATCTCTCATCTTTGTTCAGCCACTGTGAAACATACAAACTGCTGTTTTGATTTCAGAATCCTGAATCCTATAGGTTGAAAGGAATTTTATACTGGTGGGAAATCTTAAACAAAACAAGCTAAATTGGGTCTCTAACCAAACTTATCTCTTGCAGTTTAAAATTTTCCCTCGTCTGAAAAGGGCATTATATCATCCATGAATCACGTTTCTGAATGTAGTATCTATGTTATCAGAAAGGCCTTGAATCCTTTTAGGCCTGTAGGCGCAAACTCCAGCTCCCTCCTCCTGTTACTGCACGAACCCACTCCTGGGGCCCTCCTGAATCCAGTCCAGGTTTTTACTGCCTACTCCGCCAAAAGCAGTAAAAGGTGTTATGTTCTCAGACTGTTTTTCTGATTAGCATCAGATTTCAGCAAAATGTACTTTCATGTTCACTATAGCATATACCCATTTGGGCATACCAAATAAATTTGTGTGTGTATTTTTTCCCCACTCAATCTAGTTATGCTGGTATGTTTATATGGTCTGCGTCTTAGACCACAGCGAATCCTACACTCCCTGACACACTAGCAATTTTTCAGATGTACCTATAGTGCTTATTTATTGTAACTCTAAGCAAAGTGACCTTCAGCTGAGAGTCATCGTTTCGGGGACACATTCTTAACAACTTCCAACTGACTTAATTAGATGCCGAAGCACCACACTCCTGATAATTCTCTGTGACTCTTTTCATCTTTTATTCCAGGGTTGTAATACACACGTAAATAGCTTTTCCTCTATTATATTAGAATAATAAGATATTTATCTACCCTACAGCTATACTTTTAAATCCCGTGGACATTATCAAACATATGCTGCATTTAGACAGCATTAAACTAGTCTGTTTAAGAACAAAAGGCATATGGCTCTCCCCACCACCTTGATCATCACCTTGTAACCCTGGCAGACCGTTGACCTTAGGCCAGCATTGAGGACAGCATTCACTTAACACTATCCACTACGGCGTGTGCTGTGGTTCTCACAGAGCCTCTGTCTTACTATCAACACTGCACAGAAACAGCTACAAAACCAAAGAAGAAACTCTTGAATTGAATGTTTCCCCCCTCCCCTCGCCCCCTTAAGCCTCCTTCTCTCCTCTCATCACTCAAAGTTTGAGACAGTCAGAATGCACCACCAGCTGCAAAGCAAGCAGTCTGTCTCTCCTCATGGATATTTGATGAGAATGTGAAGAACAATACAGGGCACCATCCTGTCCAATTATTCTTGAAAAGCCCCATGTCGCTGTCTTTCATTTGTTTTGTCTACAGCACTGATTCTAAATCCTGGCTGCATATTAACATCACCTGGGCAACTGAAAAATGCTCATGCCTGGGTTGTACCCATCAGGTGCTTGAATGTGTCTGGGGCGAGACCTCATAGGTAATTTCTCAAAGCTCCGCAAGTGGGTCTAACCTGGGGTAGGGTCTTCAGAGGATGGTCCCCCAACCAGCAGCATCAGCACAACCTGGAGGCTTCTTAGAAATGCACATTCTGGGCCACACCCCAGACCTACTGTATGCCTCTATTTATATAACCAGGCCATCCAGGTTTCAGCAGCCTCTCCAGGTGACTCCCAGGTATGCTCCAGTTTGCGAATCACTACTTTTAAGCTGTGTTTCAGCAGTGTTACCATTTCAGCCCCTCAGGAGAAAAAGAATGTCTGATGGAGCAGCTCCTACAATTTATGTGTAAACTGTAAATGGTTAACTGTTCCCTGTAGTAGCCACCAAAATGGATGCTTATTTCCTAAGTGACTTTCAGGCCTGTTTTTATAAACTTTGAGGCTCAGCAAGAATCAGCTTGGACCCAACTCCAGGAAAACAAACAGAAAGGCGAAGGCTATAGCCTGGGAGCAGTCATAACTTCAGGGCCCTTCCTAGCAGAACTCTCCCACCTCTCAGATCAGGAAGACAGTGTTTGCCACCTCCCTGGGGTGGCTGACCTGGGGAGCACATCCAGTGTTAACAGATGAGAAAAGAAGAGCTGTGAGAACGAAGAAACGAGTAGGACCAAAGAAACAAATTATGAACTCCTGAGTCGGAAGCTTCACATTCAACTCAAAGACAACTTGACTGCTCTTGGCAAGGTCTTTGGGGAAACAGAATACAGGAGCCAAAAATAAAAAACAAAAAAAACCTCAAGAAACCTGGGCCAATATTTTGGCATTTAGGTCAAGGTACCAAAGAAGGGATGAGGCGTGAACCCACAGACACTCACCCACTTTCCCACCCTTCTTCCCACCAACCACAAGGTCAAAGGGCCTCACCTTTCACAATGGTGGCCTCCTTCAGGTGGTGGGACAAGAAGTCAATGCTGGCATAGGTGTTGGCGGAGGGCAGGGCGCCAGGGCCCGACCCCCCACACACCCCACCGGTGCTGTTGGTTCCCACAGCGCTGATGAGACCGCCGAGACTACGGGTCCGGCCCCAGGCGCTCTTGTCACCTGGCTGCGGATGTGGGTGCTGCTGCGTATGCGGGTGCTGCGGCGGCGGCGATGACAGCCCTGGTTCATCCCTCACATCGATGGCGATGTAGTTGAGGCCATTCTGGAAGCCGGCAGACGTCTCCCTGCGCATTGGAGAGCCACTTCCCCCAGGGCAGCCAACCAGGCCCCCAGGCTGACTCGATGTCCATGGCCGCCCCTGCTGGGGGGGCGGTGGCTGCAACTGGCGGGGGGATGTGGGGGGCTCATCACCTCCACCGAGGACGCCACTGCCGCCCCCTTCGCTGCTTTTCCTGAGAGAGACATTTTCCACGGAGGCTGAGTTGTGGCGCTTCGAGTTGTGGGCGAAGGACGGGGACACGGGGGTCACAGTGGTGGTCGAGGAGAAGGTCTCGGAGCTGTGGCGGCGGCGGCCCCCCTGCGGGTCTGCGCGGATGACCTTGGCCCCCCGGTGTGGGTCTGGGGGCTGGCCAGCCTGCAGGAAGGCCTCGACTCCAGACACCTGATCCATGAGACTCAGCCTCTTCAAGCCAGACGTGGGGCTGGTCACGCGGGCACCTTCCGGCTTCGAGGGGGCCACGATGGGTTGTGGCGGGGTGGCAGCCACGCCAAAGGCCATCTCGGTGTAGTCACCATTGTCCCCAGTCTCCGAGGACGAAGAGGAGGCAGCGCTGGGGCCCTGGGACGTGGATGCTGGAGGCAGGCGGTACAGCTCTCCTGGGGGTGGCGGTGGGGGCGGCTGTGGTTGAAGGGAGGAGGCGGGGGCGGCAGGGCGTGGGGGCAGTGGTGGGTACCGGGAAGAGGCCTCGGGGGACAGGAGGGCATCCAAGGAGCCCACCGGGTCCCCGCTCTGGATGCCCGGCTTGGGTGACTTGGGCGAGCTGAAGTCGAGGTTCATGTAGTCAGAAAGCGGGGAGCGCTGCCGGCTGTCGCTGCTTGTGCCTGGGGTACCAGAGCCCAGGGATGAGGCTGGGCTGCTGGCAGACAACAGCGAGGAGGAGGAGGCCGCCGAAGTCAGCAGCGGAGGGGCAGGTGGCGACAAATGTGCTCCCGCCTCACCAAAGTCAATGTTGATGTACTCGCCCGGGCTCTTGGGCTCAGGCGGCAGAGGATACTCGTGCATCCTAGGCAGGGTCTGAAGCCCCTCCAGGGACAAGCGCGTAGGACGCACTGCCCGGCAACGCTGGTTCAGGAAGCCTTCTTGGCGGCCACCGCTGCTGCCACTCAATCTCCCAGGCGAAGGCACTACAGAGTGAGGAGGCTGGGTGTGGCCACCACCACCCACCCCAGCCACGAAGACGCTGGCCGACTGCGTGGTTCCCGAACTGGCCTGCGGCTCCGGCCTCTCCTCTTCCAGGATGCGTCCCACGGGGGAGCTCATGAGCACATACTGGTCATTGTCCCCATTGCAGGTGTAGGGAGCCTTGTAGGAGCGGGGCAAGGAGCTGTAGCAGTAGCCAGGGACGCTCCTGAGCAGCTCTCCACCGCCATGAAGGGCTGCTGAGAAGAAGTCAGGCGGGGTTCCCGATGTGCCCGCGTCACTGGGGGACATGTTGAGGTAGTCCCCATTGGGAAGCAGCTTGCTGTCTGTGTTCTCCATCGACAGCTTGGAGCCACACCACATGCGCATGTATCCACTGTCCTCAGGGGAACTCTCCGCCGGGGAGCTAGCCTTGTAGCTGGCCCCGTTCACCGGAAAGGCCCTACTGGCCGCAGAGGCAGGCGCTGGCACTGCAGCTCCCGTGGGGGGCAAGGCCACAGCAGCAGCCCGTGGCTGCAGGATCTGCTTTGGGGCAGACACGCTGGTGGGGCTCATGGGCATGTAGTCGTCACTTTTGCAGCTGCCACTGCCACTACCCATGAGGGCTACGCCAGGGGTCATGGGCATGTAGCCATCGTCCGTGCCCAGGTTACTGCTGGAGCTCCTATGGGACCCAATCTCAATGTCGCCGTAGTCCTCGGGATAGGGGTGGTAGGCCACTTTGGGAGAAGACGCAGGGCAGGACGGGCAGAGGCGGCCTGAGCTGCCGGAGAAAGTGGCCCGCATCAGGGTGTATTCATCCAGGGATGCGGAGGAGGGCTGGGGCACCGGCCGCTGCCTGGCAGGTGTGGTCAAGGAGTAAGTCCTCTTCCTCAGCCCTCTCTCCAAGTCCTGAGCTCCGTCCCCTGAGATTCGACGGTAGGGACGGCCACAGTGGCTCAGGGGCCTGTCCATGGTCATGTACCCGTACAATTCGCTCCCGCTGCCCTCCCTGGCCGGAGGGGTCTCGGCGATGGACTCAGGCGTATTGCTCCTGTGGCTACAGAAGGCTCTCAGGTCCCCAGGGCTGGAGCCGTACTCATCCAGGGACATGAAGCCGGGATCACTGGGGGAACCGGAGGCTGAGGCGCTGCCGCTGGAGGGCCGCTGGCCCGCGTGATGGTGCAAGGGGTGCTGCAGGTGCGGGTGCGGGCCCGGAGGCGGAGGGTAGGAGCCAGAGCCGTGTCCGCTGCTGGACGACAGGCTACCGGGGCTGGTGGCGGCCGGAGGCGAGTGCGCCACCGGCATGGACATGGAGCGGCTGTGTTGCAGGGCGCCCCCTGCCGGCGCCAGCGTCACTTTGCTCGCGCGGCTGCCGTCCCCGCCACAGACACCGGCCTGCCGCCCGCCGCCCCGGCCCCGGCCCCCGCCGCCGCGCCGCCGTCGCCCTCGCTGGCTGTGCGCACCCGGCAGGAGCTGCACTTGGCAGCCGGCGGGGTGGCAGCCAGGCTGTCGGTGCGCGAGCGCCGCACCAGACCCGTCTGGCTGGGGGGCAGATTGACCAGGTGGTGGTGGCGGCGAGCGCCGGGGACGCTAATAGGGTGCGTGGCCGACGAGCCCGACGACTGGCTCTTGCTGCGCGGCCGGAACTCGAAGAGCTCCTTGAGAGCCTTCATGGCCTCCAGGATGGTCTCGTGGATGTTCTGTGCCACCACCGAGTCGTCGGCCTGCATCCACAGTTCGCCGGGTCCCGTGACAGCCGAGCGGCCCACCTCGATGAAAAAGAAACTGTCCGAGTGGCCGCAGCGGCGAATGTTCATGAGCTGCAGTGTCACCGACGGCTGCTCGCAGTTGAGCTTCACGAAGCCGATGGTGCGCGCCGACAGGCACAGGCGGTACACGCCTGTCAGGTTCTTGCTCTGGCCCAGGCCCTTGGGCTTCAGGTTCACCTGCCACACCTCGCGGTAGGCGGCCGTGGCGGGTGCCACCAGCCCGTAGCTGTCATCGGCGCCGGCTGAACCGCCCAGGGCTCCGGGCAAGGAGGCGCTGCAGGACCCGGCGGTGGCGGTAGCGAGGGGCGCGTCGCCGGCACCCGCGCGGCCCTCGCTGACCAGGTCGGTGAGCGCGCGGTACCAGCCCTCCTGCTCCTGCTCGTTCTCGGCCGCCACGGCGAAGTACTCGTCCTTGGTGTAGAGGGCGATCAGGTACTTGTGCTTGGCGTCGGCGCGCTTGTTGATGTTCAGACAGCAGTCGAGCGAGATGACCCGCTTCGGGGCGCTCGCCTTGCTCCGCCACTTCTTCTCGCTTTCGTAGTACTCGAGCCGCGGCGGCAGCGGCGCCGGACCCCCGCCCGCTGTCGCCGTTGCCTCGTCGCCGCCCGCGCCGGGGCCGCGCAGCACGAAGAAGCGCTTGTGTCCGTGCTTCTGCTTGCGCAGGTAGCCGCACTTGCGCACGCTGTGGTTGTTGTTGTTGTTGTTGTTGTTGAGGTTGGGGCCGTCGCCGCCCGCCGGCCCGGGGGCGCCGTGCAGCGGCGGGCTCGCCATCGCTGGCACTTCAGGCCGCGCCGCCCGGCCCGGCGTGGAGGGGCTCGGGGGAGCGGAGGGGGTGCGGGCAGGGGCGGCTCCCTCCACCCCTGCTCGCCCGCCGGAGTCCGCGTCCCTTGGGCCCAGGAGATGGGGAAGGTTCGGGGAGGCCCGCGGGGGCCGGTACCGCGCGGTGGCGCAGCGCCCTCCGCGGCCCCAGAGGATGCCCAGCTCCGGCGGTGGCCGCCCCCTGGCCCGGCTGCCCGCAGCCGCTGCCTCCCGGGCGGCGCCTGGGGACTCGCTGGCTGAGTCGAGAGTCGGGGTCCCTGAGCCGCGGAGCCGAGCCTAAAGCTCGCGCGGCCACACGGGTCCTGCCGCCGCACCGCGCTCTGGGGTGCCGGGGTGCGCCTGGGCACTCGAGGTCCGTGCCGCCGCCGGGGCTGCTGCTGCTGCCTCTGCTGCTGCCAACGGCGACCCGGGCTTGTCGCGGTCCCCGCCGCACAGTGAGTAACACATCGCGCACCGAGTGACTGAACTAAGAAGAGCAAAACAACATGTGACTCGGCGTTACGCAGGCACACACGGCGCGGCCGCCCCGCCCCGCTGCCAGCATTGGCGCCGAGTCCCCGGACGGACGGCGCGCGGACCAATGAGCGCGGGGGCGCGGAGGGGCGGGCAGCGCACCCCCGCCCCGCCCTCCTTTCTCCCCGGGTTGTGTTTCCCGCCGTCCCCTCCCCCCTCCCGCTGAGGCAGGGGCCCGGGCAGGGTGGGGGCCGGCGGGAGCCTCATTAATCAGAGGCTCGTTGTTGATGCCGGCGGAGGAGATGCCACCCAGGGCGGGAAAAGGGGCGCGCAGAAGGAGCGGGGGGCGGCCGTCTCGCGGAGGGCCCGTCCCTCCCGCCTTTGACTCAATTAATTGGTCTCGGAGCTTCCGCGGGAGAGGGGCTCACGGGAGGGGACACTGCGGGGGGCGGGGCCGGCGGCAATCCGGGACCCAGACTGTTCGTGGGGGCTGGGGGCAGGGGATGGGGCGATAGCACCCCATTTGGGCCCCATGTCGTCCCGCCGCCATCCCATTCGCGGGGAGCAAGAAAGAGCAATGAACTTGGCTGCCCTCTTGTAGCCCCCCTCCCCCCAACACACACGCACACACTTCGGCGAGCGGATCGCTCGCCCAGGCTCTGGGTGGGCGCGCGCCTGCCCGCCGCAGTGGGTGTGCGCCTGGGTGGTTCCTTGGTGCCCCGCCGGCGGCTTGTTTACGAGCATCACATTAGTCACCGGTGAGCTCTGGATCGATAGGAGCTTCGTGCCCCTTCCTGGAAGGAGAGCGGGTGCGGGAGGGGGCGCGGCGCCCCAACTCCGGGCCGCGCTGGTCGCGGGTGCCTCCCGGGGTCCCACACACTCGGGGTGCCCTTCCCCCGCATCCGGGTCGTGGGCTTGTTCCCGGGCGTCATCAGCGCCATTCACTTGGCAGGTTCTCGGGAAGTTGAAATCGTCTGTTTGGGATGTAATAGGAGAAAGAGAAGGAGGACGAGCAGGCGTAGAAAAATGCAGTTTCCATAGCGCCGGAAAGAGGGCGGGCTCCAGCGAGAAAACAGCCCCAGGAGCCTGAATCCCGCGGCGGAGTGCCCCCCTCCCACCAGACCCTCGACACTGAGCGGGGAGACGCAGGAGATGGGCGGCTCCAGACCTGTGCGTCTTTACCAGACAGCGACTGCTGCGTTGAAGATTCCTTTAAAGAAGTGCTTCGAAATTTTACATCTCCCCGGCTTTCGTGACTTTCAAAGTCGATTACAAATAAGGATCCATACAGTCGCTTCTCTTAAATGACAAAGTGAGGGTTGCTGGTGAGGGTGGGAGTCCCTGAGTTTAGATCCTAGCAGGCTCCGGGTCTTGCAGAAACTAAGAAGGCTAACAAAATACCCCCCGCCCCCCTTTTTAAATTTGTGTATCTTCATGAAATAATTTGAAACAATAATGTTGGCTAGTTTTCATGAAGTCCTGGAAGTTTGCCTTTGAATAGCCTCTGTAGTATATAAACATCTTTATTTTATTAAATGCAATGAAATCTTAAATCTAAGGAAAATAACGAAAGATTTAATTTTTAAAAGGATGATGTATTTTAACATATTTTTTAAAATGTGACTTAAAGATGCTGCTGGTCAACATTATTTGCCAAGAGATCCCCACTTACACAAAGATCATAGTGTTTTAATTTTTTAGCATGTGTGCAGTTATGATGAGTAGCATAAATTTGGGAAGAATAATCAATGTGGCAAATATCATGATAGAATTCGCTCAAAGAGGTATATTTGAAATTGAACCTCCATTTTAAACCGTGCTTTAAAAAATAATACCTCTAGGAATGCTGTTTTTATATAAGCGTGTGTTTGTATGTGTATGTATGCATTCGTGTATGCATGTGTGTATAAGTGTAATGTATGCATGTATATGTGTATGTATGATTTTGTGTACGATTTTGTGTATGCATAGGTGTGAGTGTGTGTGTATATGTGTGTATGTATATGTGTATGTACGTGTATGATCATGTGTGTGTTGGTGGAATCACCTTTATGGACATTGTACTCTGGTTTTCTGTTCTTTCTAGATCTTGTTGCTCTTTCTCTGTTAACAAATGTTGCCTAGCAATATGTCTGTCTAGTCAGAAAAGAGAGATGAAGGGATTCTTATCTTGGAGCTTGAAAAAAATGTGGTGCAATTTTATTGGCTTTGTGATGAGTTAGATCGCATTTTATGAGGGTTGTAAATGGGCCTGCTATATGTTCAGTAACGCTAACTAGCAGACAGTGATCATGGGGCAGCCTCTTTTCAGCATCATGTGATAATGGTTTCTTCTGAAAAGTATCTCCCAATTATTCCATTCATTTCTTTTTTATTTTGACTTTAATACAAAGTTAGATTTTCACATAATCATTGAATATTTACTTTCTGTGCCCATCAGGTATTAACAGTGTCATTTTGGATTTGTCCCCCCTCCCCCCAATTTAGGACTATTCTAATGTTAAAAGTCAGCATTCAGGTTAAGCTGTCAGAAGCTCTAAGTTGGCAGTTGGCACTTTCCCTATGTATGCATATGGCTTCAGTCACCAGTTAGGAGCAGAAGAGGGAAGGGTGAAGAATTATCATCTGTATCAGTGGACTCATGCAAGACTATCACAAATCTACAGCAAAACTGCAAACTAATTGCCATCCTGAAGTCTTAGAACCTCTAAATACAATTTCCATTCTCATTAAGAAGTCAGTCCATGAAGCTAGCAGTAAGGAACCCTAATTAGAAATATCCCAGTCTTCTTCCTCAACGAAGGAACTCGTCTTTCTCCCTTTCTATTGCCAAATAAGCTATTTATTTATTTAAAGCTTGTTCGACACCTTGTGATTTTCCAACTGTTCTCCCATACTTTTTCAGCAAAAGTCAGCTAACAACATCTGCCAACCTGCTCTCCACGCAGGGACGGGTACTGCTTGCATGGCCTGTTGCCAGCAAGCATCCTAGATGAAATTTTTTCTCATGGTCCAAAATCTTTCGCTGGAAGTTCTTTCCTTTCATGGATAACTAAAGGGCCATATCTTTTAGCAAGGAGTGTTTTTGGTTTGTTTAGTTTGCTTGTTTGTTTTTTGCATAAAATTGTATGCAATGATTCTTTGATTTAAACAAAAAGTCCTTTCTGGAATAATCTGATTACCTTTCATATAATAGTCAATTTCATAAAACTGTAGATATTAATAATGTATCACAAATCCACACTATTATTACTAATAATAGTAAGCATCGTTTATACTCTTCTCTATTTCATTTAGGAAAGGCATGTATAGGAGGAGAAAGGTAGATAACATTTCAGTGCTTTTAAGTTTTTTTTTCTTTTTAATTCTCATCCCTGCAGCTATTTGACAGTATTTTCTATCTATTAATAGATGAATTCTATCTAAAAATTGATTAGGCAGATCATTAAATGGAATACTGTATGACCAATTAAAATAGCTTTAATTTAAAATGTATTTTAGGAGATATAGATTTTAACTTCAGAGATTATGTCAGAGGATATATTTAGTCTTTTAAAAGAATGGCAATATTTCATCACACTTTGCTTTATTAAATAATGCATGTCAGTAGCTCATTTAATAAATTTCTCTTTCTCTGATGAATGAACCACGCAAAAACAGACTTTTCCTCACTAGGATTCATAAGGGGACTTCCTGCATTTTAGTAGCTAGTTTTGTTTTTTTTCACAAGTATATTTGCTAATATGTTCCAACTGAAATTTCACAAGAATTTTGTAACATACTAATTCTATGCAACAGAATGATTTACATGACAGAATGCAACTGCTATTTGGATCACTTATTATCTATGTATGTCATTCCAAATGTCTAAAGAATCAGGATTTGTTAATAGATTGGGTCAGTTCCTTGGAAATTGTAAAGGCTGTCCACTTTAGTATTTATTTTGTTCATTAAAAATACTGGTATATTTTAAATAGTCTCTTTCTTAAATATTTATTTAGGGAGGAAGGATTTTCTAAAATACATGACTATTTCATGTGCATATATGGTAGAGCAAACTACCATAACTTTTATAATAAGAATTCTGTAAAGTGTACACATGAGTAGAAAAATGTTCATTTACTCAGTAGGCATAAGGACAGCTAACCCAATATTCAAAACATTTCCATTTCAAATGTAATTATGTTGAAAAAATTTAAACATATAAGCAACCAACTACAAAATGACTGCAGTTAGTAACTTAAAATTCTTATTCATTCCTGGATTTTGTTGTGTTTGAATTTTGAACATGTATTTCTAAATTTAAAACAATTTTTCCCCAAAGACTTTCCATGATTGAAATAAAAATTTCGCTTTATTGACTATATAACATTGCTGAATTGTTTTTTTTTTAAAAAAAGGATTCCTTCTTAGAACATCCCTCTTCCTTGGAATGCTGGCCCTGTAATCTAATACACTCAGGTTTTGCATGACTAAATCGAAGCCTTATGTAGTGCTTGCTGTTAGTGTTCTAGCTGCTGGATTAAAATGTTTGTTTGTTGTTGTTGTTTTCTGTCAGAGCAGAACAAAATTGTCTGCTTCTCAATCTGTAGCTCATAAGTAAATGACAGGAGAAAAAGTCTCTAAAATGACACAGCTATATTTTCTAGGAGAGGGAGGAGGATGAGCAGTGAGGATGGCTGGGAGTGTCCTTGAACAGAGAACAAATGTTAGGAAGGGGAAAGATCAGCCCGTGTTCATTGATCCCACTGTTTGTTTTAGGAGCAAGCTTTCACCCTGTTTTTCTAAACTGCTCAGGAGGTAAATAGGACAGGAGCCACCCTGCTTTTTGCCAGATGCTCTAGTGTTTTGTGGAACTGGATTGTAGTCAGACATCTTCCACTTTTCTGCAATTCACGTGCTGTCTCTAGGCTTGCCTTTGAGTGTGTTTTCTAGAGTTGTTTTGAAATCCAACCCAAAGATAACAGAAGAAATGTGACCCGCTCTTGTGAATGCTGCCACCAACTGGCAATGTTTTTTCCTAAGACAAAACCAGGCTCTTCT